CAAAAAAAAATAAAAGAAAGTCATACAAGGTTTGAAATGTCACGAGGGTGAATGAATGACGGGAAAATTTCTATTTTGTTTTGGGCAAGAACCACACATTCGGACTAAAGACAATCAAAATAATTTCCAACTGATTCTGTGTTATTAGAAGCCTAAACGAGTTACACTGTTTTAGGTTTTTAGATTTCTTGATTGCTATCTACACAAGTTATTTAAAACTGTTTCCGTCTCAGGCCGCTGACGAATATCTCTCTCACTAACTAATGTGTTGAGGACAGGTGTCAGACATGTTGTAGGTTCAGCCTCAGGAATGATGTCATTCCAGCTTTAACCTCATGAATGTGTAATGTCTGGCTCTGGGTTGAGTTTCAGTCCACACTAAGCCCGTCTGCATTTTAAAACAATAAACTAATTAACAAGAAGAACAAAAGAGCAAGTGGCAGCTGAGAGTCAAACAGAAATGATGGAAACTTTGTGACGACAAGAATATTCTGGACTTAACCCTTCCCTAATTGCTTTTCTTTCTTTCCTACAGGCGTAATTTTTTTTATTACATTAAAAATGTGGATATTAAATGCCAGATCCACAAAGTACCACAATGGGAAATGTTAAAAAATTGTAATGGCAGGAGAAGCATCTTTGAAGTCTGGCAAGGTTCTCTCAAAGTTATGAACAAAAAATCTTCCAGTAATGTTAACAGAATGTTTGTTCAGAATGTTCAAAGAACATTCAAAAGTAACATTCCCATAATGTTTGCAAAATTATAAAATGGAATGTTTCCTTGATGTTTGTGTAGCCAAGAATTTTTTTAAAAACATTTAAAAACAACTGGACGTTTAGAATTTTCAGAGAACATTCAGAAATGCTCACCAAAGCATTTATTTGATTAAAAAAAAAAAAAAAACAGTAATATTGTGAAATATTATTACAATTCAAAATAACTGTTTTCTCTTTGGATATATTTTGAAATGTAATTTATTTCTGTGATGAAAAGCTACATTTTCAGCATCATTACTCCAGACTTCAGCGTCACATGATCCTTCAGAAATCATTCTAATATGCTGATTTACTGCTCAAGAAACATTTCCTGTTATTATCAATGTTGAAAGCAATGCTGTGCTGCCTCATATTGGTGTGGAAATTGTTACTTTTTTCAGGATTCGCTCAAGAGAACAACTTTTATTTGAAATATAAATATTTTGTAATATTATAAATTAAGCGTATAGCATTAGTTCTGGCAAGTCACATGAGTGTTAGTTGATCAGGAATATGACACCTATCACGGAATTCCTATATAAGCTCTATTCAGTATTATTCAGCAGCTTTTTCACTTGCTCAGGAGCAAATTACCCTCCTCCATCCCCAACTCCTCCTTTCGCCCCAGTCAGGACTTGGCTTTCTGATATTCCTCATTGAATCAGACTCCTTTTATCTTGAATAACGTGCTACACTTAAATATCATTAAGTACATTAATGATATCTGCTTTGTTCTGTTCTGTTTACCCTTGGAGGTTATTATTGCTGCTCTCCCTGCTCATTCATGACAGGCTGCATGGATGGGCAGGGAGCTTTTGCCCAGAACAGAACCATACTGCCAAACCAAACTGTATGCTAAGTGTCAATCGTTTTAACGATAGTGGTCCTGACAGAACTGTCTTTTTTGTCACGTTTGATCAGTTTAATGCATCCTTGCTGAATTATTCATTTCTTTCAAATAAAAATAAAATCTGCCCCCAAACGTTTGAATGGTAGCATACATAGTATTATACATTTCCTTACATATAATAAACAAGTTTTCTGGACCAACTTTTCAGTAAATTCGCACTTTCTGTCAATTCCAGTTCAACTTCCTGTGTGTTTTGGCCAATTGAATTTAAATTCACACTCATGAATTGAAAGGGAGCCTGTTTCTGACCTCATTCTCTGAGCTGGGCACAAGCTCCTCTGACTGACATGATCCTAGTTTGTAAAATTATCTTGGATCACGGCATTGTCTGCATATGTCCGATTTAACCAGTCTTACTTAGGAACGCCGAGGTCAGGGTGAGAAGCACATCTATCCCAGAATGCTTGTGCGTCTAATTCAGATGCGCAGCTCTGATTTCAGGCGGAGGATTACGTCTGTCTGCCCGGATGAACCACACCTCGCTCTCTCATAACATTTAAACACTTTCCCGGCTGGACCCACAGCATCCGACAATCCCATTGTCTGTTCCTGCTCTGTTAGGAGCACAATTATATTTAGCGTCATAACCCAAAGACTTGTGGGATAGACGGTTGATCTTGTTTGCCAGTATTGGAAGTATTCCCTGTAGGTTTTGCGTGTTTGTGTAAATCCAATTAAAAACAGTCATACATCTCGAGCGCCAGCTTCCCTCACAGCTGCTTATTATTTGTCATGGAAAAAATGAAGTCTGAATTTAGCGGGCCTGAACTTTCTTTTAAGCGGTCATTGAGTCAGAGAGCAAGTCACTTCATTGTTTTGAATGTGCACTTGTAATACTTGTAGGAAAAGTTCACCCAAAAATGAAAATTTGCTGAAAATGTACTCATCCTCAGGCCATCCAAGATGAGTTTGTTCCTTCGTCAGAACAGTTTTGGTGTAATTTATCATTCCATCACTTGCTCAGCAATGGATGCTCTGCAGTCTATCATTAATGAACACTATTATTGCAAACTAGTGTCTGAAAAAAATACATCGGTTACAATAAAAATCCATTGTACTACAATGTGCATTACAATATACACAAATGAATCTGACATGCAAAACAGCCAATCACAGTTCGCTTGTTGCATTCTCTTATAAATCAGTGTTTGGTGTTGTATTAGGATGGGGTCAACACTAAAAATTAAAGAAACCTAAAACTAGTCATTTTCCAAATTAAACTATTTATGATGAAAATGAAAATGTGCTGAAACCGGATGCTCTGCAGTGAATGGGTGCCGTCAGAATGAGAGTCCAAACAGCTGATAAAAACCTCACAATAACCCACAAGTAATCCACAGCACTCCAGTCCATCAGTTAATGCCTTGTGAAGCCAAAAGGTGTGTGTTTGTAAGAAACAAATCCATCTTTAAGGCATTTTCAAACCATCACTTTTGGCCAAAATACGAGTCCATAATCCATAATAACACTTCCTCCAGTGAAAAAAAATCCATCTCCTGTTATCGCTCACATCAAAATCCACCCACATATTTGTTTAAAGCTGTTTTGGCTTGTAAACGGTGCTTGATCTGTGCAGATTTCTCTCCTGATTCAGACCAGACGACTTTTTTACTGGAGGAAGCAATATTATGGATAAGAGGACTCATATTTTAGCAACGGTTTGATGTTAAAAACGTTGATTGCTTGTGGATTATTGTGATGTTTTTATCAGCTGTTTGGACTCTCATTCTGACGGCACCCATTCACTGCAGAGCATGCATTGGTGAGCAAGTGATGGAATGCTATTATAATCTGTTCCAATACTCATCTACATCTTGAATTGCCTGATGGTGAGAACATTTGCAGCAAATTTTCGTTTTTGGGTGAACTGCTCCTTTAAGTACATTCTTTCAAAGTAGGAAGTGAACTTCTTTTTCATTGGTGTTTGAGCAGAGATTGGTGAAAAGCACGAGGGTGGGCTGCATCAGAGGCACCAGCAGCTGTGGGGCGACACCCGAGGGTCTCCGTGTCCCACCCCCTAAAAGAAGAAAAGCGAGGGGCTGGATGAACCGATTCATGGTTCATCAGAGAGACGTCTGCCAGAGTCTCGGTCTGAATGAGGGCCGATGGTCCTGCACACACCCAGATATATAAATATGGACAGACTCGCGCAGAGAGAAATGAGTTTGCACTTTCATAGCTCAGGAGATTTAATTAATATTAATTTAAGTTTCTGCTAATTCCTAAAAGTAAATATAGAAATGTGTAGTTATCGTATAGTAAGAGTATATAAAATGAAGCTTAAATCACTTGAATTTGTAGAATCAGTAGAATATGATGAGGAAATATAAAGTGCATTTTGTGATCTCTGACTTTTGATTGAAGACTTTGAGACGTTTCTGACACTAAGATGGTGATAATGTTTGATTAAGTTTTACTAATTATGTGCTTTTGTTATTTTTATTATTATTTTTTAAATATTTATATTTAGCTTCAGTTAATTTCAATTTCACTTTTAGTTTTATTTTAATGTTAAAGTTTTAGTAATTCTCGTGTGCTTTCATCATTTTTTTTTTTTTATATATATCTCGATAAATTTTTAATTTGGCTTTATTTTAGTTTCAGTCATTTTAATTTAGTGATAATACTGGGGTCTTATTCTTAGGAGAAACATTTGAACAGTGTATTATTATTATTGTTAGAGTTATTATTTTGAACTAGCTTTTATTTTATATCTTCAGTTTTTATTATAATGTTATATTAAGTTTTAGTAATTTTTTGCTTTTGTCATTTTTATTATTTTTATTTATATATATATATATATATATATATATAGCTTTAATTTATTTTTTTATTTCACTTTTAGTTTTACCAATTTTAATTTAGCGAGATTAATGGGGGGCTTACTCAAGAAGCATCTAAACAATGTTATTTTACTATTATTTATATGCTCGTTAATGTTTTGAGTGAGCTTTTTATATTTGTATATTTTCTGTATTTAATTTATTTTTTATTTCATATTTCATATTTTTTTTATTTTAGTTTTAGTAATTTTAGGACTTAAATTTGCTATCTAGGAGAAACAACTGAGATTTATATATTTGAGATTTACCCTAAATAATGTACGTATAATGTGACATTGAGCTCAAAGAAAAGTAAAACAAGTGTTGAACCCAATGCAACTGGTTCTTGAGAAGAGAAGCTAAAACCATCAAATAACTTTTTTTGTTTAATAATGAATAAGTAATTTGCAGAAAACCAAATCTGTATAATCATATGCGGAGGATGTCATTTTTTCCCCTAAATATTTTAGTTCAGCCTCCTCTAATGATTTTTCAGAGATGGGCCGCTGGTGTGCCGGACGTTGATGAATGTGCAGCTTTTCATGTGCCGCTCGTACATCATTGTGCATCAGTCTACAGCTTTACAGTGAAAATCTTTGGCCGTCCAGTGGGACTCGGTGAGGACAGAAATGCATACACACACGTTCAGCTAAAACCCACACAAGCGCTGAAAAGCATCAGACACCTGACGCTGCTGCGCTCTTTCTGCCATTGAATGTGCTGCTGTTATGGCTCTCAGAGGCCAGAAGCAGATAGAGACGTTTCCAAAGGGCCAAGAGCAACATTAGACCCACAGTTTACACGTTTATAGCCATAGATGATTTGGAGAGTTCATGCGCTTGATTAGTGCTTTCGGCAGCGGGACTGTGAAAGAGGAGATGCTCTGAGATGTTTATGTTCTCATGATGCAATCTAATGGAGCGTACAGGATACTTTCAGGTTTAAGATTTTAGCTTTACATTTATGTGAGTGTTCAAGGACATTTATATGCTTTAACTTAAGACTGTTACTGAGACATTATTGGGATCTATTCTGAAACTCACACACAATGGACAAGGTAAGATAAGGTAAATGGAGTCAAATCTGTTCATCTGTATTATTAGCTGAGAGTAAACTAGAGGCTGCAGCAGCTGCTGTGAGTCATTAGACGTCAGATGAAGCTCATCTGTTCAGATGTGATGATGATGGCAGATCTTTGTCCTCTTCTCTCTTTCTCGCCTGAATCACAATAAGTGGGTCACTGTGTGAATAAACTGCAGCCTGAGGCATGACATCACGCCACAATAACACACCTGCCAACGACACACACACAATCAATGTGCAAAATATCTGCAAACACAAGAAACATGCAACAATAGCCTGCCTCTGTCTACACACACAATCACACACACACACACACACACACACACACACACACACACACGCATGTGTGTAATTGTCTGATCTAGATAGACAGAGAAATGTGTTCACAAAAGAATTATATTTATAGTGTGCGTGTGCGCACACACACACACAATTATTTATTTGTGTTGAACATACACCAACACAAATGATGTAAACATACAAAGTAATTTTTTCCTGAAGCAATAAATCTTGTGACCACTTTACATTTTATAATGATCATTTGTAAATCAGCAGTGCCAAGTATTGCTGCTATATATTTTCCCATATTTAATTACATTACAACAGAAATCATATTTTTTCTTAACTTATAGCTACTATAGATGTATATAATTTTAGAGCTTTTTTATTTTAAATACTTTTATATTTTATTTTTGTTGTTCATCCATACATAAAGTATTTATTCATTTAATTAAATTTTTTTATTTTTTCCTGAAGCTATAAATCTTACAGTATGTGACCACTTTACAATTTATAATGGTCATTTGTAAATCAGCAGTGCCAAATATTGCTTATATTAAACTACATTTAAGCAGAAATCATGAGATTTTTTTTTTACTTGTAGCTACTATAGATGTATATATTTTCAGAGCGGTTTTTTTTTTTATTATATATTTTTATTTGTGCTATACACATACACATACAAATCTCTAAATGTAAATATGTAAATTATTTGTTTTTACTTTACATATTTACTCATCTTTTGTGACCATTTTAAGTTTTTGTAAATCAGGTGTGGCATATATATATATATATATATATTGCTATACTTTAGTTTATACTAGATGTAGATTATTACTAGATTTAACTTTATATTAAAATGAGTTATTTGTTGATATAAAATATTTCATATTTCATATAAAATATTTATATAATGTATACAATATATTATGAACTATTTCATTTCTGTTAAAATATTCTCTAAAATATATTTATCTTACCAATTTCTTATCAATTTTTTAAAATCTATTATTGCCATATTTCATTAAATATTAAGCTTCCTCCACAGATAGGAATGTAAATTGCTGTAATTTACTGTGTGCTGTGTAATCAGGTAGCTTGTAATTATTACCATCAGAGTTAATGTAATGATGAAAGAGTCAAAATGGCAGTGGGTAACATGAGCTAATTAATATTCATGAGGCCATCCTTCATTCAGTTCAGTCATAGCTCCTCTCGCTGTTCAATAGCGCCATCTGCAATCTTGTGTTCCCATTTACCTCATCATACACATTATAGTGACGTTTGTCTTAGAAATGTTCTTAATGCAGAATATTAATGTATTTTAATTGAATATAAATTCTTAATTTGTTCTGGCAAACATCATATTGCATATTCGAAAACTGCTTTAGATGACCTGTAGTTATTCATGGCAGCATGCAATCTGTTTTTCTAGTCCCCTGTCCTCAGATCCATGAAGAATCATCACGCCTGCAGGAAACGATCAATCTGTAGTCAACTTTAACAGAGACACTCGTCAACAGCACTTGTGTCTTATCATCACCTAACATCAGTTTAAAGCACATTTGTTAATGGAGCTTGTCATGCTGAGAGATATGGCTGCTCTTTTGACTGGACATTATTGAGCACACAAACAGCAGGCTGATTTTATTCTACAAGTACTCAGAAACAACCCTGCTTTAGGGTGGATCCTATTTTATGAGTTATGGCAGTTATAAAGATTATTGAAATGTTTCACTTATAGCCTTTTTCATTAAAAAAAGAAAAATACAATGTGACTTTTTTTGAGTTTAGTGTTTCTAAAGTATTCCGACAGGCAAAGAGGAAGCTCAAATATAATACTTTTTTTATTTTATTTGTGTTGCATGCTTTGATTCCCAGATTTTATTTTGTGTTATTTCAAAGGTTTAGTGATTTTAATATTTTTCTAAAATATTATTTTATTTTATTTTATTTTATTTTATTTTATTTATTTATTTTATTTTTTTTTTTTTTTTAAACCTGTCCAAAGGAACAAGAATGTTTCTTTTAAAAAAGCACCTAATTGATTTAATCTCCTTTTTATTTATTTTTATTATTTCTATTTTTTTAAACACCCCAAAAAGACAGGAAGGTTCTCTTACGAATCTCAGAGTTTATTTAATCACCTATTTATTTATTTACTTTTTTTTTTTCTTTAAAACATCCAAAGGGACAGGAAAGTTCCTTTTAAAAATCCCCTAATTTATTTAATCACTTTTTTAAATTTCTTTTTTTCTTTTCTTTCTTTTCTTTTCTATTCTTTTCTTTCGGTAAAAACATCCAAAGGGATATAAAAGGTCCCTTAAAGATTCACATAATATATATATATATATATTTTTTTTTTTTTTTTTTCTTTAAAAACATCCAAAGGGACAGGAAAGCTCCCTTGAAGAATCACTTTACTTTGATATTGCATTTGAACACATAAATCCTCAAAATCAAGAAGAGGAAAAGCTACTTTCCACTGTATATTCATAGTTCTGGCAGATGCTTTTGCATGAGATATTATTGTGTGTTAACTCTGTGCAACTTTGTAAAGTTAAAGTTAGAATGTGTTTTAACCCCTACAGAAACGCTTGAGCGCTGCCAGCGGACTCAGACAGGCTCGGCTAGTTCCTCATAAGCAGGACTTCCTTTCTAGCTGTGAGCTTGATCAGATTCCCATCAGGAATTCCAGGCATTTTTCTGCGGCGTTCCTGGAGTTCCTCGCGACAGAAGCATGTGGACAGTCCGCGGGCGGTGTGTAAGCGGCTCCACACCACAGACCCCCTCCGCTCCTCCTCAGCCTCGCTGTCTCGCTCTCATGCTCATTCCCATCCCGGGTTGCCAGGGCAGCTTCCAGAAATCCCTGCTCTCCTGTAATGAGTCTGTGAGCGCCGGGATCAGCTGGGAACGCGAAGGGCCTTCTTGGGTTCATTTAGGGGGCAAAGGTGAGGCATAAAACTCGCTTTGGGCTTTAAAGTGTTTGATTGTCCTCAAGTGTCCCATTACTCCGGATTATTTATAATTTTATTTATATTATTTACATAAAACTCTATTTTGGCTTTAAAGTGTTTGATTGTCCTCAAATGTCCCATTAGTATCAGGATTCAGGAGAGAGCATTTTGGCACAGTGATTGAAATAAAACACTGACCTGTTTGTATTCAATTCAATTAAATTCACTTCACTTCACTTCACTTCACCTCACTTCACTTCAATTCAATTCAATAAAATAAAATAAAATAAAATAAAATAAAATAAAATAAAATAAAATAAAATAAAATAAAATAAAATAAAATAAAATAAAATAAAATAAAATAAAATAAAATAAAATAAAATAAAATAAAATAAAATAAAATAAAATAAAATAAAATAAAATAAAATAAAATAAAATAAAATAAAATAAAATAAAATAAAATAAAATAAAATAAAATAAAATAAAATAAAATAAAATAAAATAAAATAAAATAAAATAAAATAAAATAAAATAAAATAAAATGTAGTTTTTGTATTAATCATTTTGTGCATCAAAAGGATGTTTTCATTTATTTATATTGCTCTTTTCATATTTTTATTTATCATATATTTATAGATTTTTAAATATGTATTATTTATATGTATTTTATTTTTATTTATATATGTATTTATTTTATATTATTGTATACAAGCTGCATTATTTATTTATTTTATTTTTTGTGTAAGAGCTTAATTGATGTACTACGAGGAACATATTTTAATCTTAATAATTTAATATTCATGCATTAACAATTTAACCATCTCTAACAATTTCGTGGTACTAGAAGGCATGTCATTTTTTTTATTATTATTATTTTGAATTCGTTTTTGTCATTTGTTTTTGTTTTTTCATTTTAGTTTTAATTATTAAAAATTAAGTTTGTTTTGTTCTGTTTCAGTTAATGTACAATCTAAAAAATGCTGGGTTGTTTCAACCCAACTTTGGGTCAAATATGGACTAACCCAACTGTTGGGTTAAATTTTTTTAATTACATTTTTAACCCAAAATTTGGGTTAGTCCATATTTGACCCAAAGTTGGGTTGAAACAACCCAGCATTTTTTAGAGTGTATGTATAAGAAAATCAAAAGGTGAACATCGCTTAAGGTAAAGTTGTGCAGAATGTTACTCACCCAAGTTTAATGCTGAAGCTTATGAACTACAGTAGTGATAATAGTCAAATGCATGAAAAATACTAAAATGTGTGACTATTGGCCTCTTTAGGAAGAGTTGTTGTGGTTGCTTTCATTTTTTCCACTTCTACAGACTTAAGTAACTTTCATGAGTTACTCTGTTTGGTTGCTGTTTGACTGACAGAAAAATTGAACAGTGAAATCAATAGGAGTTCACAGGCCACAGGATGACATTATGGAAAAGCAAGCGTTCTGCCAATGATAACGCAGGGAAACGGGCAGAGCGTCTAACCTGTGTGAGCTTCATTAATTCCCTCAGTCCAGCAGCAGAATATCAATAGCCATCAGAGCGGTGCGGACGCTCTTCAGGGGAAAGATCAACCAAAAACGTATCAACAACGATTTTTGGAGGAAAAACTGTTGTGAATTCTTATGAAATCGGCCAACCTTTCCCAAATCCGCTCAAAGGCCACGCCACAATACCGAACTAATTTTTCACTTAAGGCACTTGTGAGTCAAGCCAGCAAAGGTCGGCTCCCAAGGCAGCGCAAAAGAATGAAGACCTTAAATGTGCTCTATGTATTGATTGGTTTGTTATTAGTTGGGGAGAGAGGAGAAGAATCAAGGCAGAAAAGTTGTGTGATGAACACCTGAGGTCTAAAGAGCATTCGGCAATAAAAGCAGGATTTGGATCCGCGGCGGAAAAACAACTGTTGACTGTTGATACTGAACTCAACATGGAGGCTTCCAGCTTGAATTCCTTTAGTAAGACACTGATAAAAGTGCTTTCTGAACAGCTGTGTGATACTGTACTGTAGATTTCCATTCATTTCTATTGTTGTGGTATCATCTATTTCAGATAAACAGTTTCTGAAAGGAACGGAGTGGCTAATTGTCTAAGTGGCTGATTTGATCAGAATAAGCTGCAAGGTTTGGAGGCAGATATGGGACATTATTTACTGCTAGACCTAAGACTTTTCATATAAGCAAATTAAATGAGATTAAACTGAGTTTTGCTTAGGCAAGTACCACTCATATACCTCTATACGGTTTGTTTGCATGTATAATAATTGTACAAGAACTGGATTTATTTATTTATTTATTGTATACTGTTTTTAATGATTTTTATTAAGCTTTTTTATTTAGCCTGTTATTGTAATACATCAAGTTAAACTGATTAAAAATGAGAAATGTGTCTTTGGCGAATAGCTAAAATAAAAATGTTATTAAAAAAAAATATTTTAAATGACCTGTTCATTTGATTGCATCTATTGTCGTCATTTGTAAGTCGCTTTGGATAAAAGCGACTGCTAAATGATTAAATGTAAATTAATTTTTTAATATTTCATTTTAGTTAATTTTATTTTAAATAATGTATTTTTTTTAAAGATTCTGTTTTAGTTTTCATTGACCATATACCCTGACAGAAGGCCATGAAATGATAAATAATAAAAAAAAATTAATAAAATTATTAATAAAAATACAAATGAATTAAAAACATTATTAGCCTGCATTTGTTTGATTAAAAATACAGTAAATGCAGCAATATTGTGAATATAATTTTTATATTATAATATATTATTATAATATTATAAAATACATCATTATATTATAATATTATAAAATATAAATTCTAACTTTATTTTACAATAATATAATAATTATATTACAATTAAAATATTATTTATTCATGTGATGGAAAACACACACACACACATACACTGTTTTGTAGGCCAATACAAGTATTTATTTTTTTTTTTTAAGTTATTTGTTAACTTAAACGAGAGAGACATGGAAAAGGAATTCAGAAATCCAAATGAAATATTCATATGATTACAGGTGAGCTGGGAATGCTGTTTGTGAGAGAATGAGAGACAGAAAGCCAGTGGTTTTGTGGTATCAGCATCCACATGGTTTGCATTTCTCCAAATCCCACCACGAATCTCCTCAGACAGAACAGGTCGACGCGGAAATCCAGATAAAGATACTGCATGCAGGGGACAGAGTCGAATCCAAACTCTTATTAAAACATGCATTATATGCTGCTGGGATTACTGCAAGCTTGGATACAGGAAACATTCTTTTGTTTGAGGAAAAGCAAGGCAGATAAAAGATATGATGGAGACAGATTTATGACTGATAACTCAGTCAAGCATGGTTGCTGCATTTCTAAACAAATGAATGTGTCATTGGTTTATTTCATATGCTAAACCACATCATTACAGAAAAGACTAAAACATTATGCCTGAATCATGATGAGCTGAAGTCTCTTCTCTCTGTGTTAGACTGATGTGACAGCACTGGCCTCCCGACCTCCTCATCCTCCACTAAAGCTTCTGCTTAATTCAATTAAACTCCTAACTGCATGGAGAGTCTGGGTAAATATTATCCTAAACTTCTCCACCTTCCTTCAGCGACAGACATCGCCATGTTCACATGAAATGCTCCCGCGGTGTTCACCAAATAATGTTCGTGTTCAGTTCAGATCTTGAAAACGTAACCATGCTGAACAACGAACACCTGTCATTTGTATATATGTGGAGGAAATAGAAAAATGCAACTTACAATAAAGTCTCATTTGTTATTATTTGTTAATGCATTAACTCACATGAACTAACAATGGACAATATATTTTACAGCATTTATTTGTCAATGTCAATTCATAGAAATTTTAATTTTCATTGTAGTTCACAGTGATTTAACTAATGTTAACAGATAAAACAGATTAAAAAATTATTTTAATAATGTTTTAGTAAATGTTGAACTTAACATTAACTGTGTGTGTGTAAATACACCACACATTATATTAT